CTTGAATTTGAATTTGTAGCTTATCTGCTCCATAACATCTTTAGCGTTTTCAGACATGCACAAGATGTCATCCACATAACACAAAATATATTCGTAGTATTCTTCCCCGTCTGGTTTGATAGCTGCTTGCATCCAAACATCGGGATTGGCATATGATGAGTAAAATCCCAAGTTCTCCAATGTCTCTGCAAGGTGGGACCTGAATGCTAATGCAGCAGATTTCAAACCATATAATGCTCGCCTAACAATGAATGTTTTACCTTCCTCGTCCCCAAATTCAGGGCCCGCAATCATGTAACACTTTTCAAGATTGGGTGCGGTGAGGAAAGCATTTTGAATGTCAGCACACTGGACATCCAAACCATTCAATGCTGCAATGGTGAGTAAAATGCGTACAGAATCTCGGGCTACCACAGTGCTGTATGTCAGTGCTGCTGGCGCTTCCGTTTTGTGTCCATCAGCGCAATATCGAGCTTTTCGTCGGAAGTTTTCACCAAGTTTGACATCAAATACCATGTGACCAGTGATGTGTTTGTATCCAATTAGCTTTTTGATGTCCCCGCCAAATTCCTCAAAGGCAACTCGATTGTTCTTCATTTCCATTTTGATGGCATCTTGCCACAAAGTGTCCCCATTTTCTCGATCAATTTGAATAGCCTCCTTGACAGATTTTGGGATGCGGATACCGTATTTGTGGGTCCGTTCCCAATATTTTGATTTTACCTTACTTATAAAACGATCTCGCTTTTTGTGTACATGTGGAACCCACCAAGCGAATGCTGGTTCATCTTCAATAGCCTTTAACTTGGCATAATCTGCAACCTCAAGGGGAAAGGATGCTTTCATATCTTTTAGGGTTACCCAATTGGATGACCCATCCTTCCAGATCACATAAAGTTCCCAACCAGCAGTTGTTTGGCGCTTTCGAGTCCTTCCACTAGGGAGGAGCATCGATCCTGCACTTTTTGTGATTGCCTTAGCGGTTTTACGGTGGTCCAAAATCTCTTCCATCAGTCGGTGCTTATGTCCGTGTTCGTCAACCTGTGCAAGTAAATTCTCAGCAAGTATATTGGCTGCGAATATTTCAGTACCGCCATCTGCATACTCTACTTCATACTGTCTTGTGTCGAGCAATTGGTTGGAGCTAGCGACGCCAATTGGTCTTCCATTTTCATCCACTATCCGTCGTTTCACCTTGGCCCTTTGGAGTTCGCCTTCTGCGCCTCGTCGTAAACCAATCTCCATATTGGTGTAATCTTGGGCATCAAGGTCATCTGCAGCTTCTTCAGTCCCCTCAAAGTCGCCATCTTCCAGCGTCTCTGGGTTGATGAGCATACCAAAATTGCGCATAAATTCGTCATCCTCGTCGTCAAAATCGAACATCATTTGATGAGGAATGTCTTCCTTCCCCCAGTTGATGTAAGTAGATTTAGCGTCAACTATCTTAGAGACATCAGCTGTCCAACGTTGCATCTGCTGTTTGACGGAATCAGTCTGCTGTTCCGCGTTGGTTACCATTTGGACAGTATCCACAGAAATGGGGATACCGCTCTTTGGGAGAACCCAATATGTCATCATGGGTCCCACACGGTGTGAAACTCCAAGCCATCGGCCGATGTGATTGACTCCCAAGCCGCCATCGCTGCGAAAGAACACCCAACCATATATCGTGAAATCCAGATATTCAGTGATTTCTGGCGTGATTCCAGTTATAATTTCTAAAGGTACCCGACCATCAGAGTACTTTGAATAATTGACAGTAACATTCATTGTGTCAACCACGTAGTCCAAGACAAAGTCCCAAAGGCGTTCAGGGATACCGTGTTTGATGATTAATCGATAATACCTCCGTTTTAACTCTCGAATTCCACCTTCCGCCGGGTTTTCTTTTGGAGTGTAAGGTTTGGAAATGTGATGGTCGATATTGCATCGACGAATTGTATCCATAAATGTAGTCTTCCGTCCAATCTGGACAGGTGCACCATCCATCGTGAGGTGCTCCGGTATACCATATTTGGAAATAAACTTGTTCAAGGTTGGTCCAACTTGTGCATCATTGACTTTCTGCAAGTGGTGACAACTGTAAAACCCACATTTGTGAAAGTATACCTGGCTGGCAATGTTACCTCGAAGGGAAGTTCGTTTGAAGTAGGCAGTATCAGTAGAAAATTTTCCCTTCAATCGTGGACGCTCAAACATCCGATCGGCTCGATATCTCCTTGCAAGTGGCATAATAGCGGATCTGGTTCCACGTTGCAGGGTTGCGTTCAATGTAGCTCTTGCTCTACCAATGCTGATTCCCAAGCGTTCAGAAAGATTCTCCGCGGTGACCTTAGAGTGGCGTTCAGTTGATACAAATGATGGGACTGGAACATCTTGAAACCTATCAGCAGTTGCATTGATTTGTTGTACAACACGCCATTGTTGCAAGTTGTGTTGCACAGGATCTAAACTGCGCATTTCAGATTCATTTGATCGTGGATCTTCAAAAGGAGTATTTCGTTGCGTTGAGAGTTTCCCAAGTTGCACAGTGGACCGCTCCCATGGCACTTTACTTGTGAGCTCAATATGGTGACACGTTTCAAGTTCCTGCTTAGTGGGAGCACCTGTGCCAAAGAGTAGCTTGGTGCCCCTTGATAGTAGTGGTATGAACAAGTCCGTAGCCTCAATCCCAATTTCATGCATATCATCATATGGGTTGTCCCAAAGGGGAGTACCGTAACTTCGAATCTGATTTGGGTTGAATAAGGAGTGGTCCAACTTGTTTCCATAGTAGAGCGCTTCGTTTATGATCAAAATAAAAGTAGAACCAGTTTCTGGACAATCATATGCTGTCGCCCCTGAAACAATTGGAACATGAGTTGGCGGTAGACTGGAATCATAGGCGTATACATCGGCCGAGCGTTGTGTGTAAGCAGTAATAATGAAATTGCTACCCAAGCAACAAGTGTCAGCGTTTGTGTCCATTTCATTGTTGGCGTAAGTGCCAGCCACAGGTTCTTGGACACCAAGTCTTTGCGTTGCTGAGTATTTGGAGATGACACGAACAATTCGCGAAACTTGGCTGATGCTGCGGCTGACAGGTAGTAGTCAGATATTACTTCCATTTCCTCCATTTTGTCGCTGTTGGGCTTGTTGTAGACGTCCTCCAATAATGGAGCGCCCGTTGGTGCCAGTGATGACTTGGGAGATTTGAGTAGCAGCAGTAGCTTGTGTGATTTCCGTTGGGACAGTCAAACGGTCAGTCAAATCTCCAATCAGAGAAGTCAGTGCGGCTATATTTCTTGTATTTTCGTTGGTACTAGCATTGTCTAGGTTATTTTTGTGTCGATTGCGATAAGCTGTCCTTTCGGCCGTCATTGTGTTGCGCTGGTTTTGTGTCATCAGGTCCAAGTGTTCACAAGAAAAGTTGTAACTCGGATGGTACTTGATGACTTTCCCATCACTCAAAGTGATATTGCGTTCGTCCGGATGTTGTTGACGATTGCCATTGTAACGGCGGTTATCACCGGAATTGTTGCGTTGGTTGCGACCACCCCGTCCACGTCCGCCGCCACGTCCTCCCCCACGTGTGTTTCGATTGTTCTCTCTGACGTGTCGCCCCCGAGCAACGGCAGCTACGGAAGCTGGAGGGAATTTTTCTGCTACCTTGGAACGGTACATTCGCATGGCCTGATCATATGTCATAGTCATAGGAATAGCATGCATGTTAGCTTCAATTGCCGCTTTTGTCTGTGACAGGAAGTCAGCTTTGATTCTTTGTTGGAGGGATCGTAACTTCATAACGTCAGTATACATTACACGTCCATATTCGTGATGCATGGTTGCATAGGCATTATTTAATATTTGTTCAAATTTCTGCCAGTACATAGCTGGGCGTTTTTCTCCTGCATAGAAAAGTGTTGCAATGATGTTTTCCGCTGCCATGACATCATGAGCGAAAATGCCTTCACCTTCATAAAATGCCTTCAATGCGAAGAAAGCAGCTCTACCATCAGTAGTAGTATTGAGCGCTTGTATTACCATTTCAGCTTCAGAACAACCCATGATAAATTTGTTCAGTAGAGCCAACACTTGTTTGTTATCCACAATAAAGGCGGTTCCAACAAGTAGGGCCATATTGATGTATTCGTCAAGAAAATCGTCTTGTGGTGTTGGGTCTTGAGCTGCATTCTCGCGGACCACATAAACAAGAGGGATACCATTGACACCGATATATGCGCGGAGGTGGTCACGGAGCAGCTTGACCCATTGCTTCCATTGTTGTTCTTTGCTCCACTTGGGTGGAACCGTATTGTCAATTAAAGTTTTAGAATCTTTGACATACTTTTGATGGAAGCTCAATCGCTGCAGCAGAGTAGATGTATCTCCAGCTGGGAAAGGGTGTTGTGCAGGGTTCCTGCCCATCCGAATTTCATCGCGAACCCACTGCACAAATGCTCTGATTCGATCTTGAGCCCTTGGTCTTGACACAATTCTTCCTTGCATAGCGGTCAAGGATGCGAGCGTTGCAAGGTCCATGTTGACTTGCTTGATTGACTTGGTCATGGCAGTGCTAAAATCGTTGTCAAAGAGCTCTTCTGCCATACGTTGAGCGTCAGTTTGTCCTTGGAAATTCCCTGTGTCAGGGATTTGACATAAAATCATGGCATCATAGATCGTAAAAACAGGAATTGCGGCGGCCATTTTGCCTATAAAAGTGATTCCTTAGTTAGTTCGTTTGTATTGGTGTTGCATTCGTTACACATGACAGTTTTACATGGTCGAAACCGGTGATGTAGCACCATTGACACGATCGAAATCGGCTTTTCACATATTAAAAAATATTGCAGTATTCGTATTCTAAATTCGTTCATTTGAATTCATTTCATTGAATAGCTTTTGCTTTCATAGCTAATGGGTCTGATAAACAATGTAAAATACGTCGTGTAGCAATAGACTTACTAGGAGGATGATAAAAGTAAAGGAAAGTTGATAGACGTTCGTAAAAGGAAATCTAGAAAGTTGTGATGATGTGTGGTCCATCACCGATTCTGTACGTTACCGCGTACAGACTATGCGTGCGTATCTAATAGCACGGTGACCTTTATTTGCCACTTTCCTGCAATAGTTCATTTGAAGATCCAGCATCAGAGGAGCTCTTCCCGTTTGATTGCAGTTGCACAGAAATCCTGTTGCAAGAACGGCTTCAAAGATATCATCCTTGAACTTGTTTTGAGCAGCAGTATCGGTGCTAACTGTTGGGATATGACGAAATATGAGTTTTTACGTTCCAAAAAGAAACTATTCAAGTACGAAGTTTTCGACACGTACGATCGGACTTTGATCGTGATGTCGGGATTCGCCGCAAGTATGCCGGACGC